AAAAATATTTTTAAAGTAAGATTACATTATAAAAATACAGTTATTACCATAAATTTTTTCAAGTATGTTTAATAAAAAATTTTATATTAATTTATTAATAATATTTTAATAATTTTAATATTTAAATTACATAATAAAAGTGTAAATCTAATTTAAAAAACATAAAATTTTATAAAATTAGGATTACTTTCTTTTTTTACCTAATTTAAAAAAGAATAATGGAGTGAAAATATATTAGTTTATCTATCTCTTGTTGAATGAAGAGAGGTGATTACAATATGAATTAATCACCTCCATCAAAAGAGGTCCTGATCGAGCTTTAGAATGCAGATTTTCTCTCAATTTTTCTAGTTTTGTTTATTATTCTTATGCTTTAATTGTGAAATGTATACCCTGTAAACTTGTATGATGTCCCATATTCTACTTTAAAAATTTTATTTTGAATGATTTTTCAAAATAAAAGAGACATACAATTATTGTCAATGGGAACTGAAGGCGTGAAAGTCAAGCTTGAGCAGTTTGTTTGGTGGATTGTTCAGTGACTTCAGTCGAGAGCTAGCATCTAAACTGTACATTTGCATACATACATGACCCATTTTCTGTCTCTGAAATCGTTTTCAAGGTAGGTTGATTAGATTAATGGCGTGGTGTCAGCTTTTTCTGATTATCTCCTCTTTTACAGAGACGAAGAGCATGAGCTTTCATGCTTTTGCATGTGGCTGTGGGACGATATCAGACACCCACATGCTCATTGCCATGCGGTCAAATTCTCTCCATCCTTGGCTGGCCAAAAGCCTCCATCTTTATTTATTCTTTGTCCACATTTTTTTTTTCCTTTATTTTATCCTACATTTCCATCATTTCTATTATTATAATTAAGATTTGATCTCTTTTCAGGTGCAGTATAGATACTTATTTATGATTTATGATTTGAAACAAGGGAGATGTTACAGAGCATAGCAGCCTTGGAAGAAACTATGAGCGAGCCCTGTCTTGTTATATAGATCGCAGCTCAACCTGCAAGTGCACTTATTTATGATGCGTTTAGTTTAGCTAATTTTATTAATTTATATATATATTTGTAAATAATTAATATTTAAAAATATTAATTTATAAATTAATTTTAAATAATTATGTAATAAATATTATTTATTTTGTTAACTATTAATTATTTTTAATAATTAAATCAAACAAAACTTTAAATGAAATTTGTATATTTTCATTTCAATGATTGCATTATTTGCACACTTTAACTAAGAGAATCTATTAAAAAAAAAAAGAAAAGAAAAAATTAAGGGATCTATTAACCCTCTACAAGTGGCAAAATCAGAACACCGTATCATATGGGAAGCATCAAACTTGTATCTTTCCTTTTGAAAATTGGACTAAAGGGAAAATTGCCTAACTAAATAATGATGTAGCTCATATGCAATATACTAAGCAGTCCAATATTCATTATTGAGAATAGTTCCCCACCACATGGAGATAGAAGTTATGGTGTTTTGTTGAATGCAGATTGCACAACTCTTTTGTTTAAGGATAATTTGAAAATTGATAAATTTTATTAGAAAAGTTTTATCACAAATTGCAAATCTAAATTCTGACTTCCAACCCTATCCTTTTCTCGATGTTCATGGTTTAGTCCAACTTCAAACTTCTACCGTGGAAAAGTTGTTCCGAGCTGGACAAACCCTTTTGCTAGGCTAGTGAATAATGCCATGTGCATTAGTGATGAACAAGACATATCATAGCTATAATTTCCTTGCCTTATCCACATTTCTAGTCTCAAGTGCATTTTGAACAAGTACTTCATCCGCAGCTGCATGGTCTTTTACTAAAGCTTTTGTGGCTCACTCATTGAAATAAATACCCATATCATCCACACCCCCATGTTTGTATTCACCAACTTTCCCCGACAGAACTATTGAGTCTAAGAATTAAGGCCATGCTTTCTTTGGCTCATTTTATGATCTGATTCCAAAGAAGCACATTTGGACCTACATACTATGGATTTTATTTCTTATTAATCTTCCTCCTAAGACATCCTTTGCAGATCTCGTCCGGTTTCTTACCCCTCATAACAAAATTGGAACAAAATAAGTTGACTGCACATTTAATGTAATGCAAAGACCCATGTGACTGTCCTTGCCCTGTTATTTTCACCTCTCGATTCCCTCTACGTAGCCTCGTTTTAGGGGCAATTGCCTCTTCAAAAGGGCATCTATGGTCTATACCCTCAAAGGCCTCAACAGACCACTGGACTTAAAGCAGAAAACTAAATTAATTAATGCCAAAAAGGCATTCTGCCGAATGTGGTCTTAAATATTGCTATAGAGGCAGCTTTTTCTTTTATAAATACACAGACTAGAGGCCTCTGCCTTGCACTGCGGCTTTGCAGGTTGGTAGTTGGTTGGTTAGTTGGCGCTTCTTTTCTTGGGGGAGCCCAAAAAAATGGCGGTTTCATTTTCCTCTTTTGCTCTTCTTTCCCTCCTCCTAGCTTGCTCCACTGTTTCTCAGCTTCAATGTGCT